TTTAAAAGGACTCGTTTAAAAGGTGACATTGTGCTACTCCTGTACCCAGCTTTGTCATTTGTCGCACCAGAGTCGTCGTCTGTCGCTAGGATGCATTGCAAACGGAAGCCGAAGTAATGGTCACCCTGCTGATAGTCCACGCTCCTGCAAACGTCGACGCACCTTACGAGCTGATACTGTGCTCGCTACAAATATGCCCATTTCCTGACTAATGGTCCATGATTTGGCCGAAAGGTTTTGCAGGACTGATCTCACAATATGTCTGTCCTCTCTGGCGTTAGAAGGCGTTGAGATTCTGTATGCTGTTCAGTATGATCTTCAGCAATTCATTGATTCTATATTTACATGACAGTGGTTGGATGTCGGCCAGTCCGACCGGCAATATCACAGAACAATAATCTACACTTTCGATCGGCAAAGATCCTGCCTCTATCGAATTTCGAAACATGCTGGTAAACATTTCCTCTTCTTTCTCGAGACATAACACGATATTCTGAACAAATTCCAACCTTACAAAGCATTACCGAATGAGAAATCCACTACACAACGTTTCCTTTTTGCAGTACTTCAGAGTCGTTTCTCCTTCCTGCGAGCGTCTAAATGACTGAAATACTAATCATTTGCATATCCCAACTTGTTTTTCCTTTCATGTAATTTTGACGTTCGCCAGAATATTCCTTCCTGGTGTTGCAATTTTAATGGCCAGCAGTGTATTTTGGTGCATACGAAAGTGTAACAGGACACAGAACTCCTGCAGTCGGGATATATATTATGAAGCGCATGGAATAATTTTACTAATTATACTAATGGTAAAGAGTAAGTAACACTTGTTGCAAAATGTTATTAAGAATTCAGTTTGCTGTTAAATAATTTACTTTGTTATCCTAATGAGCCATGGATTTTATAAAATGGAAAACACCTAAAAGTCTTTAGGCTGTTCTCGATTGGAGACAGTTATTATTTTCTTCTTCTTAAAGTGAATATTTACTTTGCGCATAGCGCGAACATCATTAACCGAATTCAGATCTAAATGTTTTTGTGTTGTTGAGACTGTTTATCAGCCTATCTGCAGGGATAAGGGGCATCCTGATCATTATATTTTTATATGCCCGTTAACGGCAGTACATCACACCAAGCTGTCAGAGACTTGACTTCCTATCTTTCAAGAGGTACACTGCGAAAAAAAAAAACCGGTCCGATCGACGAAATTCAACTTGCGTTTTTTATGATCGAAAGCGCGACTTAGGATATGTATTAGATTTATATATAGCATTGTTCTAATATAGGTATTTTGACACAAAATAGAACTTTTTATCACAATAACATACCAATTTTTTCCCATATTTCGATTCTACGGCTCAAATTACGCCAAACAACCAAGTTTCGTAAAAATCACACGAGTAGTTTTTAAAACATTAGCTCTCAAAATTTCAGCTCCTCAATGTTATTTAAGTTTGGCATATATTTATTAATCTGTCTTTTTTATTAAACCTATTTGATTCTTCCTTTCACATTTGGAAATTTAGGTTCATTCCAAATAAGATTCACTCATTTTTTATATTAATTTTTTAAAATTTACATTTTTGTATTATAATCTAAAAATTTTTACCATCATCCTAAAGTAGACGTATTTCTAAACATGCCTGCAAAACATTTATAGTTTGTTATTCAAAATTTCCGAAGATATACGTGAATTTATATATATTGGTGCGCATATTTGTTCAAATTTGGCATATTTGTTGAAAGTGATAAAATATCAAATGTGGATTAGACACTTTTGTAAAATTATTTGGAAGTAGAAACGATGGAACTTTTTTTCCACTCCTGCACAACGTAAAAAAGGTAGGAGCAAGGTGCCTTTTTTTTCGCTCCAGCATATTGGAAGGGAAAGAAAAATTGGTTCCTACATATTAAGAAGTTCGCCAAGTGAATTTTATTCTTGGCAAAAACTTAAAAAATTGTGCCAAGATAAATGTTTGAATTTCTCCGTAAATTTCGCACTAAAGTTTACAGAATTTAATATATAGGCATAATTTAAGTCGTAGAATCGAAATATGGAACGAAATTGGTATGTTATTTCAGAAAAAGTTCGATTTTGTGTCAAAATACCTATGTTAGAACAATGCTATATATAAATCTAATATATATCCTAAGTCGTGCTTTCGAGACATGAAAAACGCAATTTGAATTTTGTCAATCCCAGTAGAATTGCCCAGTAGAACGGAAGATATAGAGCTGTTCCGTGGGTTTTTTTCTTTTTTTTTTCAGTGTACCTAATAGAAACCAAGAAGATAAAGTGCAAAATAATTAAAATAACGACCTTTCTCCAATCCTAAGGCACTGAAATGTATCACTCGTAAACATCATTTAAACAGCTCTTCTCTCATCAAACCTATGCCGCATTCCTTAGAACTTATTTAATATAATTCTTAGTAGTAATAACAATATTTAACATGAACGAATAAGTGTAAAACAAATTGTATATATATATACTCCGCCTAACAAAATGAGAAATTTTTATATATAAAATCTAAAAGTTTTCAGATTTTACGTTACGTCCAAAGGGCCGTTTTTTTAACGTTTTCTGTGCTATGTTTATTTATTAAATAATATGTTCTTCAGAAATAAACCATAAAATTCAATTCAACAGCAACATCGCAAAATAATTTTAAAATGAGCATATCTTTAGAATTTCTGATACACAGTCTCGCGCGCTGAAGATAAAAATTATTTTTTTCGGTACAGTGTTGTAATTGCTAGCTTTGAAACGTTGAGTTTGTTAATCAAAAATTCGCTCAAGTGTTACAAAATATGAAATCGATAATAAAACAAATTCCAAATTCAGATTGGGGCTTCTAGATGCCAATATTCGTTGGAAGATTGCGTTATTCAAAATTGGATGACTCTAGGTACCGTTGTTTTATCACAATGCGAGAAACATACATACATTTATGCAGATTCTTCATTCTTCAATTTCTTTAAATATTATACAGGGCTCTAATATTTGGTGGCAACAATTTCAAAAGTGACTTTTGCACGTTGAATTTGAGTTTGTGTTTTGCACGTTTTCTTTACTTTTACGATCCGGGAAAGTTCAGAATATTTTCCCATCTGAATTTTAAAACCACTGAGATTTTTGAAACAGGAAACACTAAAAATCAATTCTCTTCTTACGAGCAACTGAAACAAAGATTTTCAAATACTAACTTGACATACTAAGTGCAAAAGTAGTATACGCGAAGCAATGTGATAATTCCTCTCATTTCCCCACACCTAAAATGCGACAGTTAGAGGTACGAGATCCAGTCTATTGAATTCAAGTGGTGACAGGCTACCATCAACCCTAAGTTATTTCGGTAACCACAAAAAAGTCAATTAGGATTTCCAAAGCAGAAAACATGAAAAATTAACTGTGCCCTCACAGGGAATTGAACCACCACATTCCACCGTTAGCTGAACGCAATAACCACCTATATTATGAAAAATCATAATTCCTCATATAACCATTAATTCCTCATATGCTTCTCCAGTTAAAATAAGACTGAAGAGAAGCATGAGACCCCCCCCAGTCAACCAAATTCAAGTGATGATGAATTATCGTCCCTCATATTTTTATTTAGGGCGCCATTGCAGATAGTATCACAGTTTGGGAACCGGGAAACGTGGTAAGCATTCAGCTATAATCTCAATGAGATTCCCATCATATATCTGAAATTTGCAAATGTTCTCAATTGGTTCTTCGGTGTCGGTTCCTTTGGTTTTCGCTGTACTTTCCGTAGAGCGGCAGAAACATATATCTAGCAAATTTGCAATTGTTATCTAGCTCTTACGATATAAACATTTAGCAATAATCATATCAAATTTATGATGAATTACATTCAGTATTTCCTTCATTAAAATGGTGATTGGTTTAATAATTAAATTTCTTCAAATTTAGAAAACAATAATTTGACAAATGAAACATTTTTCTAATTCTCTCCTTGTTGAAATATTTCTTCTTTCTTCTTTCATCTCCATTTGGTAACATTTGTTGAGAACTTGAAATGAAATAAAACAGAAATTAAATTACCCCCCCCTTCGCCGAGAGTTTATTGAAATTATAAAAAATAAAAAGCAAAGGAAAGAAAGATGAAATGTTCTTTTTTTTTCTTCAAAAGGAAAATAAATTATTTAGATAGAGTTTTATTTAAATTCTGGCTAAAATAAGGTTGCTGATTTGTTCAATTTTAAATTTTCTATAATGTTTAAAATTAGGCAATAAAGCAGTCTTAGATCATCATAGAATTTAAAAGAAATCCTGTCAATTTCGATGGCTATCAAGTACCAGTCTCTCGTTTTTAGGAACGAAAGCAAGTTTGCAAATTTATTTTTTCCTCTGAAGAAGAAGGACCTATATCTGAAGGCTTTCGAGATCCACGAATATGTTTTCAAAATCTACTTTGATATCTTTTTTGCCTAATTTTAAGTTTTAGAATGGGTTATTCGCTTTCAATCATATGCTTATTTTATACTATTTTTATAAGATTGTAAACTTAGCAAATATAATATAAAAACTCTGTCGTATCATTCAAAATTTGAAAACTTTGAACAAATTATTTCCAATGCATGCTTTAACTTGGCAGTTTCCAACTAAAAAAATTCTGATATTATAATTATCACGTCAGAATTTACTGTGTAATTTCATCCTGTTTTACTCACGCTAGATAAATGTCAGAATTTATCCGATAATAACTTCTTATTTTAACAAATCTCATTACAACGTATTCACGATCTTAGATATCAAAACAATATTTAATTTCTTTTACATTTCATGATCACTGTCCGTAGTTTTGTAACACTGTCGAAGCTGATGAACTATGCAATAAAAGGGAAAGGACACCAGAATTTAGCGGAGGCGGAGCCAGGAAAGCCTTGTTTCACTTTCTATTGGACAAGAGGAATCCGTTACGTCACAGACACTTGAGAAAACTCTGGTTAAATGAACGAGATCAGAGCGTGGTCTTTTCAAAGCTGACGGCAAAGAGCAAAGCTGATACAGGTCTTTGGAAAAATTGCAATGTGCAGAATATCACTTGCGGTCATTATTTTTTGTTTTCTTGTCACATTAGTATCCTGCCACATCAGGTAAGCTAATAATTTTTGTCTATTACGTGAAGCTGTACTAAAATGCTTTATGATTAATTTTTCTCTTTCGATAAAGCGGAACAACAAATAAAATGAACTGCAAATTTTCATTTCTACACAATTTCTAAATTGTTATATGTCATTGTATTACATTGTCATGTAAGGAAATTACATGTTTGGTTCATTTTATGAGTATTGTTCCTAAAAAGAACAATACGTATAAAATTTAGATTATTCCTAAGGATTGAAAGATACATTTTTCATGCTAAAAATCAGCAATCAGTATATTTAAATAAAATTATATAACTGATATTATTTTTCATTACAATATGATTTTATTACAGATTTGCGTCAAAATTACACATATGTTCAGGAAATAATAAAAAATAATCCAAAATGTATTACTTTTCTTGGGACTATCTCTTTGGTAAGAACAATAAAATGTTCTAGGTGGTTCCGTCATACCAAAGATACAGGTTAAAAATACAAAGATATGTTGGACCCCCCTCTTTAATCATGTAATTATATTGAATTAATTAAAAATATCGTCTTAATTTTTATTTCCATAACAATCAGTCAAGTTAATAAAAATTATATTAGTTAAATTTTATTTCGGCAGTAATTAATCAATGTCATAAAAACCAGACAAATTCTTTAAAAATAAGGAAAAAATGCTTCATTTAAAAATATAATTTGATACCATACGCCGTAACAGACGAATATAAAAATAATGAAATATGCTACTTTTTGACAGTATTTTATTTTTCAGATACATACTTAAATTGTTTGGATCTATGTTAGTTATATTTTATAAATTTTTGTATTGACATGTGAGAAAAAGGTATATTTTTAAGGTGTAAATCGCATAAAAATGTAGTAATTCCCATGCCAAGTATGCTAATATTTTTTACAAGAGCACCTATTTATAGGTTCATCACTTAGAAATTACAGTTGGTCTTATATGAAGAGGAAACTCTAGACTATGATAATTATAATTTTCTTAGTTAAAAATGGCAAAGAAAAGAAAATTCTAATTTTTTTAAACAGAGGAAGCTTATGTGTATTTAACGTTTTCCTCATTTAAAAATAATAGAAATAATTAAATTAAACTACAAATTTACCTAATTAACGTTGTTTTATTATACACTTACGTCAAAATAGCTGATTAGTATCATTAAAAATCTTTTTTTTTTTTTTGGATGACTTCCTGATCAAGAGCAGGATGAAAGGTCTAAATGAAACCTTATACTGGAAATAAAGAAAGAAAATTACAATGTCGTTTTATACTCCTATTTAATAATTTTATTTTTTTAAATGTATTAAGTTCAAATGCTTACCTTTACTTCGATATCAGTCAGTCTGGAATCATAAAAATGAAAGATAAATTGGTTAAAACACGAAAATTATCCTATCTAAATTGTGTGATCATGACATTAAATGAAGTTTAAGTTTACGAACTCAGATTGTTTGGTGATATATTTACTAAAATATCTATATTAATAAAATAAGTAAAAGATAAAAATGACTTATTTTTTAACACATCGCTCGAGTTCTTCTAGCGCCATGACTTGGCGCTAACTTTTTTCTACTTCATTTAACGAAGTGAAGTACGTACGTATGTCTGTATCTCGCATAACTCAAAAGCGAGTAGCCTCAGAGAGTTGCAATTTTGTATATGGGACTTCTATAACATGTAGTTGTGCACTTCTCTTTTTCGCTGCACTTAGCTTTATGCCCTCCGTTTTTTTATTCTTATATGTTGGTAAATTGTGCATTTTGTGCTTTAAAAATGATTGAATTCTGTTTCTCTTATGTTCCGCTTAAAGGTTTTATGCCTTTAGTTAATCTACAGGCAATAGTTGCAAAAATTACCAGCAATTTAAACGTGATGCTAAGCTTAAAGAGACCACCTTTTTTACATTTGAAATTCTTAGTAGAGTAGTAATTTAAATCATATGATACACCAACTTCCGTGTCTTTTTGCCCAGTGTGACCAAAAGCTAACTTTCAATTGTGTGCACCGAAAATTCCGTCTTCCTGCCCGCTGGCCGAGTTGCTTGTTCTGCGTTAAAACTCTAATTTTAATTGTAAAAAATTTTGTTTTTTTAACTGTATTTGGTATTTTAAGTTTTCCTACATTTTACAATTTTTAATGGAGGTTCAGTGTTTATGTACTTTTGCTTTGCCGCGAAGTGAGAACTGAAGTGCTTAAATTAGAAATATATCTCTAATGAAATTTGAGGAAATAAGTTTAAATGAAGAACAGCAAAAAAGGTGCATAATTTAATACGCCCTACAAAAAGTCATGCGGTGTCTACATCAGATTCCTTCTTTCATGTACTCCTTAATGAGGCTTTCTAATTATGAGATACCTCTAACCTCCCTCACCCCCTGTAGTGTTACGGCAACGGCAGTATAGTTTACTTTTCTTAATACCATTAAATTAAAAACTGTAATGAAAAGTCAGAAAATGTAATCAATAGGCTGTTTTTTCTCAAGCATTAACACATTTGACGGTGCCTTCAGTAAATTATTCAACCTTAAATTCAGTTGCCCTCGTCACTTCGTTTGACAGAAATAATTTTCAAGAGCTTTGAAATCGTTTTAGTGCATTATTACATTCCTTTCACTTCATCACTTCATTTGTAACTTGAAGATCATTTTGTGACAAGATGTTTTAAAGTACATCAAATATTTCCCTCTAATTTTTCTTCTTAACACCTATTTCCAAAAGTCTAACTTTTTGATAATAGATTCAATTTGTCAGGCACTTTAAAACAATTATGGAATTATTCCATAATCCATTAATCTGAGTCTGTGAGAAAATATATATTTTAGCAACTTATTCATTTTTGTTTAAACACTTTATTTTTACAAACTTTAAACGAAAACAAAGTAATTTAAAACAAACTCCACGCTCAGACTAGTCTGATAATCACAGTTGCAAAGAAATGCAGGCTACAGCGAACTCATTTTATAACGAACCGCCGGATATAACGAACGACCGTTTTGGTGTCGTCTTAATTTTTTTACAGTTAATGTTATTTTGTATGGCTATAGCGAGGCTCCAAATATATGAATTCGGATATAGCGAACTATATGAATATTTTTGAGTGAAACGTTTTTTGTAATTTTCCTAATTTTGTCCAGAATTTCTGCAATTTTTGACTGAAATTACTAGCCCGTAAAATCATCCACGTTTTTGATGGTAGGATTCTATACTTGTTAGAACAGCAAAAATCGTTTGTACATCGCTGTATACATGTAGTTCTTTACCTCTTTCATCCTCATCTTTCTCTATATTCTAAACAAAAGCTGGACGAGGTAGCACTTAGATCTTAGAGAACCAGAACACGCAATAAAGCACATTTTAGGGTATCATATGGTTTGGGGAACTAATGAGACCGTAAATATGTTCTCGTATTCCACTAAAGGTTTTCTTGTGAACTTTTAAACGCAGCTGTGTTCAGGGCTGATTGTTTTTATAAATCGTTGGAAATTTTTAAACGGCAATGTATGACGTCATTTTTGCTATTCACGTGTTTTTGCTATTCACGGATTGTTTGCTATTCATAGAAAGCGAGTTTTTTAAATATTTTTATTTAAAATTTAATATGCACATTTAAATGTACTACAGTATTTAAAATTCTTTTAAAGTTCTATCTTCGAATGGAGAGATTTGCATTCCTTACATCTTCTGTAAGATTTATAGTACTCTTTATAATAGTTACTGCACTTTTGCTTTGGCACTAAATATCTTGCGTAAAATGACTGAATTTTCATTGGGCATTGAATAGAAAAGACTAGTGACGAAATTATCTTATCTTATCACTCTTTTTGTGAGAGTGGAACGTCACATATTCTTTTACCTAACTAACTCACTTTACACTGAACTGGGGAAACTTTTGGTGTCAAATGTACATCCGAATGCCAAGTATAGACGTTTAGAATTCTGCATTCAAATTAAAATGAGTATTTTTCGAAAAACGCAGAATGGATATAGCTAAATCTATACCTCCCAGAAATGCAGTTTATGCAAACCTACCCTATGGAAAAACCGAAATTCGATTATTTCTGGCCATCGAAAAAAATTGGATACGAGAAATACGTCAAGATGTGGCTAGTTACTTCTAGTAACAATTCATTTGTTTTTATAAATTTCATTATAATCATATTTATAAATTTGTTATAAATTATAAATTAAGAAAGGAATGTTTCTAATAACATTCCTGTTTTTTAAAACTGACCAGTGACGGTAACACCTGTAAGTTTCATAACTGGTCAGTAATGGTAACATCAGAAATCCTCGCAATTGCTCTCCCGTTTATTTATTGACAAATTTAACCTTTCTGGAAACTTTCCTTTTTATCAGCATTTATTACAGCATTTTTGCTCCTATTATGGATAATTCTTTCGCATACAACTGACTAAGTCAATGTTATCATTGTGCACAATGTTCACAAATAATCCTGTAGTCGAACATGTGCAACTTCAAGCTTGAGTTTTAAATTTCGAATTTGTTTTATTTGTTTTATATTTTGCATGAATGAAATTTTGATAAATAAATTCAGGGGTTTAAAAACAACGCGATGTAACTCGGCAAAAAGAAAGATATATATCTTTGAAATTTAACCAGAAAACTTTAAAAGATTTAAAAGAATCCATTTTAGCATTCTGCAAAGCGTAAGATATTCAATTTGTAGGGTTGTCGTTGATCGGTTGATATTAATTAGTCTAAAAGCTCTAACAGACATAAAGCGAATGGTCTCTATGTCTGAAATATTTATCAGTCAGTAGAAGGTTTAAATAAACATTTTTATTTAAACGGAATTTAGTATATAAACCTACTATCTTGTGGTGCAATAGTATCAGCCACAGCCCGTGGTGACGCAACTAAGTACAAGAGCTAAATTTACATCAAGCATGAACAGCAGGCAAAGATTACCCAATTAAATATTACTATATGCTGGCTCAGTAGGCCTACCGGAGAGTCAAACACA